AGCCAAAGATCAAGGCCGGAATCAGCAGGGCAATGCCTTGCATCTCCTCAGAAATAGCTCCGCGTGCCACTTGTGGCATGCGTGCCATAGGTTCGCCATCATGGCTCTAGGATGTCTGAATTCAGAGGCCAAGATCTCCTCACATGCAGTTCTCACCGAAACATCAAAGACACAAAACTATTTTCCTTGCTCACTTCATTTTCCTGGGTTTCATCACTACCACAGGGAGAATGAGGAGACACTTTCTTGAAAACGACGGATCACAAAGAAATATACTGGGCGTGCGTGTGTGTGTGTGTGTGTGTGTGTGTGTGTGTGCATGCAAGCGCATGGCTATTTCTCATCTATAGTTCTTTCGTTATGAAAAAGGAAATTCACATCCACACACACACTCCCTTTCACATATCTGAATGGAACAATTTATGATATGTGTCAGAATGCCCTCTGGCATGATAAATTATGATCCCCTACTACGCAAAAGGCCCAGAACAATCACACAAAACTATCTCTGGAGAATCTCAATGTGGCAATTTAAAGACTGGGTGCTAAAATTCTAAAATTGTGAGAAGATAGGACCTAAGGAATAGAATTCAAAGAGAGATTTTGAAACAAGTACATAGGTGAGAAGAAACATGCTACATCACTTATTAAGCGCTACTAATCCCAAGGAATGGTCTTGCAAGATGGTTTGTCACTTTTTTCTTTAAAAAAAACAACAACTCCTCATTTCCTTTTATAAATAATGCAACTTACCCAATCGTTTGAGTGAGGAGTAACGGTTGAGTTCTGACTTGATTGCTGACTCGTAGGATGGAGGCAGATGGGAGAGGTTGTGAAATGAACGAGAGCAGCTGAGGGTATTGTATTTGGTTGAGGAATGGCTTGGGGTATCATTCATGTGCCAGTCTTTTAAAGGAACAGAGAAATTAGAGGGGGAAAAAATCCATTAGTCTACATAGACTTGCTGCATTTTACTTGCTTTCACACTAGCCCTTGAGTCTGGTATGGAAATCATTTGTTCATTCTGCTTCACGCAGAATCCAGATGGTAGCTTTCACTTTCTGTTCCATTCCCATGGTCTCCATGAGAATCCTCCAAGATATCTAATTGAGGTATGCAAAAAACCCACAACCCACTTCAAATTGGGGATAGCAGGCATAAAGCCCATCCATCCATCCATCCATCCATCCATCCATCCATCCATCCATCCATTCATCTAGATTTATTTATCTATTTATAAATAAAATTTATTGGCTGCCCACTTTACTATAAGGCAGTGATGGTGAACTTTTTTGGCACCAAGTGCCCAAACTAGAACATGCGTGCACGCATGAGCACTGGAAACCCGATAACCATCTGGTCTTTGGGTTTCCAGTGCGCGCATGTGTACCAGTCAGCTGGTCTTCACATGCTGGGGCACGGAAACCGAAAGAACAGGTGGCCGGTGTATGAATGTGCATTGGCCAGCTGGTCTTTAGGTTCCCAGAGCTCTGGCACGCGTGAAGAGCAGCTGGCCGGCACGCATGTGCGCTGGAAACCAGAAGAGCAGCTGCCAATGGCGCACATGCCCACAGAGAGGGCTCTGCGTGCCACCTCTGGCTCACCATCACGGCCATAAGGTAACTCTGGGCAGCTAACAGTCATAAAAATATGTCTATACATATAGAATTAAAACATAAACATTGTTTTGCAAGGAGTGGGAATCCAAAATTGTTCTATTATATGAATCAGCATTCAATTACAAAGGATGTCATGTGATATGTTGTTGTTTCTTTTTTAAGATGATTTTTGTTAACGTCTTTTTTGTTGTATGTGGGTTTTTTTAATATTGCGGTGCTTTGTATTTTAATCTTTTTTCAATAAACTATTTTTTTAGGGGGGAGGAAACATAAATAATTAAAATCTATCTTAAAACCTAAGGATACATGGGGAGGGAGAGGGCTGAGTGGGTGTGGAGGTGGGATCTGTTGTTACTCAATCAACCACCTCCACTGTGCTGTGCGGGCCCTGGGCCAACTGGCAGAGCCATATCTTTAGGCCTCTACAAAAGGATGTTGAGGCCAACCTCACACCAGGTGGCAAGATGTTCCAGAGGGCAGGACCAACAGCAGAGAAGGGCCTCCAGCCAGGATAATCAGGCTGACAGGACTCAAACCACCATGCCACTTCTGCTGGCACGAGTGGTACGGGCCAATGCTGTGAGGTGAGACAGTCTCTCAAATAACCTGAATCCATACCATGGAGAGCTTTAAAGGTAATCACCAACACCTTGACTTGCACCCAGAAGCAGACAGGTAATTAATGCAGCTCATGGAGCCATGCTGTTTTTGAGGTCATTCTGGGGGGGCCAAAATTGCCCATGGCACTCTGTACCAACTGTAACTTCCGAATGCTTTTCACCCCAATGTGCAATTCGATTCAAAGAGGTGAATTGACTGGGCAATTCAAATCTGCAAACTGCTTCGACTGTTTACTTTAATAAAAGGGAATGTGCCATAGCATAAATCCTCCATTTTTTCCCCTAATTGATTCAAAAACAGCAGCTCAACTTGGCCCAATGAACTAATTTGGCCCACTGAGCTAATTTGACAGTTTGTTCCGAAAGAGAGCTTTGATTCACAGGCCGTTCAAGGGGTGCTTTGAATCAAAACTCAATATAACTTTTGCCACCAGGGAAATTAGCAAGGGGTGGAGAGTGCCAGGGTCTCTTCAGCACTAGCTGAGAAATTTTCCTTTTAGATCAGCTGTTTTCTTACTCAATTCAGCATTACCAACTAGTTTTCAATTACCTATTTTCCATTCCCCTCCGACAGATTCTGTAGTAAGTCATTTATTTTCTTCCCCTAGCATGAGAAATTACTTGTCTCCTTTCATTACTGATTGGTCTTCATTTATGACTGCAACTGTGTGATTCATTATAAATGTCTCAGCAGCCATGTTAAAAGAATATTTTCCACTCAACTATTTCTGTTAGGATGAGCAAGCCTCATGCATTAGCCCTTCAGAACCATTTCCTTTGTGTGTATCCCACCAGGGATGGGCTTCAAAAAAATTTCAACAATGGGTTCTCTGCCCGGTTGCAGAGGTGGGCGTGGCCATGGTGAGCGTGGCCTAATTAGCCTCCTGCACCATGGTGCGGGGGGGAGGTTTGCCTTCACCAGGCTCTGGAGGCTTTCCTTGAGCCTCTGGGATGGCGAAAACTGTCTCCTCCGGGCTCCGAAAGCCCACCCCCTCCCCGAGGCTGGAAACGGGCCTTCCAGAACTTCCAGGAAGCCTGTTTTTCCTCCTCCCTGAGCCTCCACACGGTCCCCGCACTTACCTCGCATACAAAACGGGCCGCGTGGAGACTCTTGGGAGGGGTGGGTGGGGTGGTCAGGGCCAGCCAGGCAGGGGTAAAATGCTACCGGTTCGCACTGGTTCACGCGAACCAGTAGGGACGCTCTTTCTCTAAACCAGTAGTAAAAAAAAAAAGCTTTTGAGGACCGCACGGCTCAGCTGTGAGTCGCATGATTGTCTGAAACATTTTTTCAGCCTTTTAAAGCATTATTTTTTCCTGCTTATTTGCCCGAACCGGTAGTAAAAAAAAAATGCTTTAAAAAGTGGGGGGGGGGGGACTGAAACTTTTTTTTTTTTTTTTTTTTTTTTTGGTGTTCGGGTGAATAGATAGTAAAAAATGCTTATGTTTTTTAAATGGCCACGCCCACCCAGTCACATGACCCCTCACCCCAAGCCATGCCCACCAAGCCATGCCCAAAGAACCGGTGACAAAAAAATTTACATTTCACCACATCAGCCAGGGGTGGGATTTGGAGGTTCTCCAAACCGGCCGTAACGTTAGCTATGGGTTCTCCTGAACTGGGCAAACCCATAGCAGCTCACCCCTGCCCTCCACCTGTTACGGAGCACAGTTTCAACAACCTCAAAGGTCATCTACCCTCCCAATATGTGAACAAGCCCCCCTTTCTCTCTCCCGAAACCTTATCTACTTTTTCACGTATCTACTCTCTGCCTTGTTCCCAATTCTGGCCACTACACAGAAGTAGCCTGTAAGTAGATACAAATGGAGTCTTCCCCTTGAACCCTAAATTCAAAAGTGCTGTGACATTAATCATACAATTAGCAATTGGGCTAGTTGATTAGTAAATAATCATTGCAGAATGCCTGCAGTTAGATGCCTTTTATAAAAAAAAATCCAGTTCATACTTGGATAGGGAAACATGCAAAAATAACAGACTGGGAATTGGAAAAAAACTCTTCCGCAGTGTTGCAAAGAAAAGTACATGAAAATGACCATTAAATTACCAATTAATTACAGGTAGTCCTCGACTTACGACCACAATTGAGCCCAAAATTTTCATTACTGAGTTTTGCTCCATTTTACAGCCTTTCCTGCCACAGTTGTTAAGTGAATCCCTGCAGTTGTTAAGTTCGTAACAGGTTGTTAAGCGAATATTGCTCGTCAAAAGGTCGGAAAGGGGTGATTGCATGAATCTGGGATATTGCAACCATCATAAATACATGCCATTGCCAAGCATCCAAATTTTGATCATGTGACCATAATGGGTTGTAAGGGTTCTATCTATGACAATTTGCCACTGCCAACTTGCCACCGCCAACTCACTGTGGGACAATTCATTGTGAGACAAGAGTTACACTAATATCAAAGAAATGGTGGAATTAAAAAAAGGATGCAAAGGAGAGGGATTAGAGAGGGCTATAAAGCATTGTGCTTCAGGTTTCTCAGCCAGCCCAGTATTCCTCTTACCCCTCAGTGGTGTCTCCATGCTGCACTCTCCTCCGGCCCTCCTGGGGCAGCTTGTCTTCTCAATGGCAGCTCCTCCTCCTTTCCTGCTCTAGCATCCCAGCCAGAAGCGGCAGTGCGAGAACCATCACCGCCCACTCACCCCTCGTGGCGGCAGGAGCAGTGGGCAGGGCAGCCACCTGCCCATCCAACGAAGGTTGCCTTGATGCCCCTTTTGCATGAGCCAGCCAGGCACTGTGGATGCACTTCAGTGTCACGGACTGGAGCTGCGCAAGAAGCCTGCATGGGCAGGAGGGAGGGAAGCCTCGGCCCTCTCATCCTGGCTGGCAGCTCTGCTCCCTTTGCTCTTCCGGGTTCTGACGTGCCGGCCACCTGGTCTTCACATGCACAGGTGTGCCAGGAAGGTTATTTTCTGTCACACACGTGTGTGCTGGTCACCTGGTCTTTGCGTTCACCTGTGCACCAGAAACTGGAAAATCATCTTCCCAGTGCACACATGTGCACCAGGCGGCTGCTCTTTTGGTTTCTAGCACTCCCGGACGTGTGAAGACCAGCTGGTCGGCACGCCAGAACCTGGAAGAGCAGCGGGTGATGGCTCTGCGTGCCACTTCTTGCACGTGTGCCATAGCTTCGCCAGAAAATATCGGTAACGTAGTCAGTGGTGGGATTCAGCCAGTTCGCAACACTTGGGGAGAACCAGTTGTTAACTTTCTAAGCAGCGTGGTGAACTGGCTGTTGGAAGAAATCATTAGGGCAGAGAACCGGTTGTTAAATCATTTGAATCCCACCACTGAACGTAGGTCAATGTTGGTTAGAAATTTTGAGGATGCTAGCTGGAGATTTGGAAAGTTAATGCTGAACATACCTGAAGAGCATCAGATTTGGGAAGACAGGTATAGGCCTACTGGATTATAACCCACTAGTCTTTGTTTAAGAATATAAATACAGGTAATCCTCTACAGTTCGTTTAGTGACAGTTCAAAATTACAAAAGTCCTGAAAAATGTGGCTTGTGACTATTTTTCACAGTCATGACCTTTGTAGCATCCCCATGATCATGTGATCAAAATTCAGATGCTTGTGACCATTGCTGTGTCTCAAGGTCAGGTGATTCCCTTTGCAACCTTCTGACTAGTAAACCAGTC